ATTTCAGATAGTGGGGTCCAATTTACATCAACCTTCCGGAAGGAATTCCTGAAGCTATTGGGCTCCACCCAAGGCTTACGCTCTGCCCACCACCCACAAACCAATGGGTCCTGTGGGAGAACTAACTCAGTATTGGAACAATGCCTTAGGTGTTATATCAATTATGAATAGGATGATTGATCTGACCTACTGCCTTTCGCAGAGGTGGCTTATAATAACTCTGTTCACTGTAGCACTGGTTTCACCCCATTCAAGGTAGCTATGGGTCAGGACTTTGTACCCATACCCATTCCACAGGAAAAACCCAATGTTCCATCATTGACAGAGTGGATAACTCAACTCCAGCCTACCTGGCTGGTTACCCATAATGCCTTAGATTATGCTCATCAAGCTCATAAAAAACCAGCAGACAAAAAAAGAGCTCCACAAAAACCATACCAAGTCAGTGATAAAGTCTTTTTGTGCGCTAAGTATTTACAAACAACCCAGAAATTTAAAAAATTAGGACCTAAATATGTGGGACCTTTCCCAATTGTAAGAATTGTGAATTGCAATTACAATTACAATCAGTGCAATTACAATTACCAAAGACACTTAGACAGATTCACCCTGTCTTTCATGTCAGTTGGTTAAAATTTGCGATCCGACCAGGCCACCTCACCAGTTCTTCTTTTGATTGAGGGCGAGCAACATTTTGAGATTAAAGAGATTCTAGATTCTAGGAAACAGAGAGGACAACTCCAATATTTAGTTGTTTGGAAGCATTTCCCCCTTCTCAGTTGGAATAGGTGAATGAATATGATGTCAGAGCCCCTAGAATTATCCAGGCATTTCATTTGAAATATTCTGACAAACCCTAACTTCTTTTGAATATTTAATATTGTCTCTGGAATGTTTATTTTCCTATTGTTATATTTCTTTTTCTTTCCTACAGCTAGCTAACACCTCTTTTGCAGGAGGGCTAAATGTCAGCATCCAAGAGTCCTTCTGCTTGTCTTTCCAGCTGCCATAGAAATGTGGGGAAGGAAGATTAATTGGGCTTTGTCAGTGGGAAGATTTGAAATGGTGAAATGTAAAAGTTGGGATGTTTTCTTGACTACGCTTACTTGCTTACTGCACAGATGTAGCCTCTTATCTATTCAGGCCAAGGTCAACCGCCCTGGCATGCCAGATGTCTAAAACACCATCTGAAGATGCACCACATGATATTATACACATCTCAGATTGGATGGCCAGTTTGAACTATTGGGGGTGGAAACATTGGCACAACTTTGTATATGTGATTTTCGCACCTCAGATCTTGTATTCTTCTGATGCTACCATGTCAATTTTCATTAAAAGTCCTTTTTTCTAAAACAATGGAGTCTAAGGTTTTCTTTCTTGGATTTTGCATGGAGCCTCACCTGACACTCACTCTCATTATAATTTATTTTCCTTCCTTCCTTCCTTCCTTCCTTCCTTCCTTCCTTCCTTCCTTCCTTCCTTCCTTCCTTCCTTCCTTCCTTCCTTCCTTCCTT